GGAGTTTAGGGTTTAGGGTTTAGGGTTTAGGGTTTAATGTTTATAATTTAGGGTTAGGTATAGAAGGATGCAATTAAGCAACTTCGAGGGCTAAATTGATGAGAAAATACGATAGAGGCGAAAGTGATAAATTGGGTATACTACAAGGGCAAAAGTTATCCTTTTACCTATTTTTAAACTTTAATATTTTTTGAAGATGTTAACATTAAATTATTAAAACAAAATGTAAATAAATAATTGAGTGGAGTCAATGCATTAATAAGGGTAAAATTATAATTTGCTCTCAAACACAAAGTTAAAAATGAAAAAGCGTATAATTTTGTGCTTTTGCGGTGGATTTGAAATTATCATTTTCATCGCACTTTTTTTAAATTGTTTGGTATTCATTTTGCGTTTAAAATGAGATTTTTAACTAAAAGTGTATTTGAAAAGTCATGCCAGACGAGAACTAAATCAAGTTGAAGAGCACTTTTGACTCCAAAAATTGACATTACTTCAAATCTAAAAAAAACACTTTTAACCCCAAAAGAAACTTTTGAAAAACATTCCCAAAATCAAATTTCCTTTTAGATATTACTATACAAACATTGCTCAATTATTTTCAGAATCCTAAACTCAAAATTAGTAAAAATAGTAAACCCTACAACCCAAACTAAAAATTGTTAAAATTAGAATTCCTAAAAGAAATTCGAGTTTCCTAAAAAGTAATTCCTAAAGGTTGGAATTCTAGAGAGAGAAACCGTAAACGTTATTTTTTAAAATGGTATGATTTGATTTTAAGGTAGTATATATTCATAATATGTATTAGCAAATGACAACGCAAACAATCTGCAGACGTAGCTGCTTGAACTTAAGACTTCTAGGGAGAATAATACTTTTTTTAATCATTAAGTTCATTTGATGGTTTTAATTTTTTTATTAATATATGGTAATTACAAGTGAAAGTGTCTATTTTAAAGAATCTGATTCATTTAACAATGAACGCTCAAATCTTGCAGTCATTGGTGCTCGAATTTGAGACCTCTAAAGATAATAATCATCCCTTTAACCATTGAAATCTTTTGGTTCTAAAATTAAAATTTCAATTTACAAGATAAACTAATAATTAATGTACGATGATGTATAATTATATGTACTATTAGTGCATCAAATAATGACATACCACCATAAAATTTTAGCGTAAAGTACACAAATGATCCCTTATCATTGGGTATTGTTTTGTTGAATTCACCGACTATTAAAAATTATAAAATAATCATTCGATTATAAGGTGTTGTTTTATTGGGTTTTCCGACTACTAAAAGTTACAAAATAGTACATATTATTCATATGTTCCAAAATCATCATTTTATGTTGCAAATTTAACGATCGTCTAAGCTAGATGTTAACATGTTGACTGTGAGATGATAATCGTTTAAGATACTGAGATTGGATTTTATCATATCTCGTTCAGTAGTTTAATGTCCAGCTTAGATTCTCGTCAATTTTTTAACGAAAAATGACATTTTGGAATATATGAATAGTTAAGTGATCATTTGTAATTTTTAATAGTTGGTGAACTCAACAAAGTAACACACTATAATTAAAGGATTATTTTGTATTTTTTAATAGTCGGGATACTCAACAAAACAACACCCTATAATTAGGATATCATTTGTGTATTTTACCCAAAATTTAAAATTATTATATTTTTGTTTATTATTAATGATGTGCTACTCTCTAATTTATTGATAATGTATATTTTATACACTATTAATGCATTAATTATTCAAACTTATAAATGTATATTAAAAGCTTTATCCATTCAAATCAACCGATAAAATAAAAAATGCGATATTTATTAAAAAAAATATGATTATGAGGCAAAAATATTGCAAAAAAAATAGAAAAGCTAAAAACGGAGCATGTGCTATTGAAATAAAACTGTTATTTTTTATAAATTGATTCAATTTTTCTAAAGAAAATTAAAAAATTTAGAGAGATGAAAAAAATTTAAGAGTTAATATTATTATTTATAAGTTTAACCAAAATGTGGGCGCTTATCGCAAATTGGACAATGCTTAACTCATGCTCGTTAAAAAAATTATTGCTCGACTCGGCTCGTTACTCGTTAAAATTTTGTTCGACTAGTGGTCATTAAAAAAATATGTTACTCGATTCGTTGCTCGTTAAACTCGATATTCGTTAAACTCACTGAAATTTTTATCTTATTTTCTTAACTATAGTTAAAATCTACTAATAATAAAAAGATTATATAAAGCACTTTCAAAGTCTAAATTTTAAAATAACAATCTACAAATATATTAAAATAATAAATAAGATTTAATTTTTAGTGTAGTCAAATATTAATTAATAATTTATTTTGGTGTGAAGCGGGATAGAGGAGATTTCATAATTGGGGTTTTTGAATAAGACAAACTTTTCATTTTTTATTCTTATAATGAAATAATTTTTTAAATATAACTATTAAAATTATATTAAAAAATTAACAAGATGCTTGTAAAATTATCGAGTCGAGCTAAATTATGATCAACTCAAATAGTTAAAGTCTCAAGTAGAGTTTGAATTCAAATCGAGTTAATTCAATTTAAATTTTTACTGAAATATGATCGAGTTGAATTCGAATTACGAACTACTCAACTCATTAAACAGGAGACGTGTCATTGGTCTTTAGAAAAGAATGCGAGAAGAAGCGGTTGAAAAATTCGGCGATTAATCGTACCGGACACGATAGAAAAGAAGGAGCGAAGCCGCGTTATAAGCCGAGCCATAGCATAACCGGTCGAGCTTAGTGGGTAAATTCAACATGCTCGAACCGGGCATATTTTAGTAATATGAGCCGGCATGATTCATATGGAATTATTATTTAATAATAAAAACCTACTTCATTAAAAATTACCTACGCAAGCTATATGAAATTATTTTTTAAATTTTATATTAAATAAATTATTATTGTAGACCTTTCAATTAGATTTGGCAACAATCGAGTCAAAGACAAAAAAGCTTAATGATATTTGCTCCCATCACACTCCTAAATAAAATTTAGGCTTAATGAAAAGATAAGTGTTCAAAGTATATATTAGGTTAATTTTAAATGTTTAAAGAAAAAATTTTGCTAAAAAATAATATTTCATATATATTTTAAGTGTTTAATATTTTTATTATATTTTTAGGTGCATACATAATAACGACCGTTAAAAAAACTGTTAAGTGACAATATTTATATTTTAACTTAATAAAAAAAATGTCTAAACTATATTCTAAGTTAACTTTAAGTGTCTTAAGAATTTTCGTTAAAAGTGATGCCTAATTTTTTTTAATAATATTATTCTAAAACACTATTTTTTCAAAAATCAAAAAAAAAAAATCCTCCAACCTTAAAATCTCTCTTTTTAATTTCATTATCAGTTGTCGTCAATCATCACCGATCACCTTCACCGTCGTCGAACGGTCACTCATTCTTCGCTAGACCACCACCGCCAACCATCCCTCTTTTATCATCTCAATCCCCTTAAATCCATAAATTCAAATTTAAGTCACTAAACCTAATACTCAAATCCCTAACCTAATCTCAAAGTTATCATTCTTGCACTAATTTAAGTTTAGGGATTGATGGGAACGATCGAGGGTGTTTTGAATGCTATCGGGGAGAGGAAGAATTTTCGCACATGAGGGAGAGGAATTTTTTTTCTTAAAATTAGTTTTTAAAATAATATCTTAATATTTTCAAAATTAAAAAAGATTTTAAAATATATATAAATGCGATACATGTAAGATAAATGTTGAATGTAACTGTTGTTATAGTCTATGCACATGAAAGTGTAACGTCGAAAATATTAAACATCTATTATTGGAGAAAAAATTTTATGCACCTATAGTTTGGGCACTTATTTTTGCATTAAGTCAAAATATAAAAATAACATGTATCACTTAATGTTTTTTTAACGGTTGTTACTGCTTAGGCACCTAAAGTGTAATGGAGAAAACGTTAAATACATATATTTATCGAAATAGTTTTTGGACACCTAAAATTAACACAAAGTATAATTTGTACAGTTATTTTTGTATGAAGCTTAAAAATTATTTTATTATGTAATTTTCTTTTTATCTTTTTTACCCTCAAGACTATTAAGTTCTATAAATTGAGTAAGATGAAAAAGTGATTGATTTCGATTGATTTTGTTTTTATACTATATATATTTTAATTTTAATGATTTAATATATATTTTTTACTTTATATTTTTTTGAATATTTTTATTAATTTTATTTTTATATTAAAATAAAAATAAAAATAATTTAATTAATATTGATAAAATGATTAAATATTTATATTAATTTAACAACTTCATTATTTTTTGTTAATTGATTCAACTCAATTAAAAAAATTAAAAATCAAAATCAAAATCAAAATGATAAAAAAATATAAACTAAAATCACGTTTTAGATCAAACTAAGAGTTAAAATCTTTAGTAATATTTGTGAAAATGACTTAAAAGTCTAACAAATAAGACTACGTTGTGATGCTTGATGTATCGGACTTTATGGTTTCATCTATTTTAGCTGATAAGGCTGGACTCCTTATGTATAATAGTTTAAATTACTTTCATTTGTTAAAAAAAATAGGTTTGATTTACATTTAATTTGGTATAGTTACTTTTTAAAACAAATTTAGATAAAAAAATTGACTTAATAATTTTAATGTTTAATATAAAATTAAAAATTTATTAATAATATATGCACCTTATATATAAATATAATTATTTGAATTTAAAAGTTTTAAAAAATATTATTTTCTTTTAACACTAAATATATGGGATAAAATAAATTAAAAAAATTTAAAAATGTACACTAAAAATCGCATTTGGAATGAATTTTGGGTTCATTTGCATTTGCATGCTAATTGTAGCTAACCCTAGTCAATTTCTAACCCAGATATGACCCATCTTCCCTTTTATTTAAACATTTGGGAAACTTGGGTCGTCCACTTGCTTCTAATTCTTCTTACTTACCTCTCCCTCTCCCTTTCACCTGAAAAAAAAAGCTTCCTTTTTTCTAGATGATTAATGTCTTTTAGACTAATAATGTAAAAGGAAAGGAAAAGAAAATTCATCCTTTTCTCTAGTTCAGTTGGTCTCTTTGTTTTTCTTGTTACGTTGTTTGACGGGACCTGTGTTAACGAAGAACAAAAATGGTGAAGTTAATACAGGACAGTGGTTATTGTTCTTTAGTTGTAAAAATGTTACAACTTTGTACAATTTGATTCTTGTTTGGGTTTCGTTCTAAGTTGAATCTATTTAACAACAATTTCCATTGTCAATTTTTAAAGAAAAATTGAAGAAATTGCTCATCCCATCATCAACCATGAAGAGATCTGGAAGCTCAGATTCTTTGGGTGCTTTAATGTCGATCTGCCCAAATTCAGGTCTAATAAAGAAAACCCAAGATTTTATAACAAAACAATAACAGTCTTTGATGTTCATCGGTGTCTTGATCGTTTGATTATGTTTTTGATTTTGATACAGATGAACATAGTCCAAGAAGCAATGTTTACAGTCGGGAGTTTCAGTCGATGTTAGATGGATTAGAGTTAGACGAAGAAGGTTGTTTCGAAGAGTTAACGGTCGTCGGCCATGGCGGCGGGAAGAAGAGACGATTGAGTGTAGATCAAGTGAAAGCATTGGAGAAGAATTTCGAAGTGGAAAACAAGCTAGACCCCGACAAGAAAACGAAACTGGCTCAAGAACTTGGCTTGCAACCACGACAAGTTGCTGTCTGGTTCCAGAACCGACGTGCCAGGTGGAAAACCAAGCAATTGGAAAGAGATTACGGTGTTCTCAAAACCGGTTATGATTCTCTTAAGCTCAATTACAATGCCCTCCACCATGAAAATGAAGCTCTTCTCAGACAGGTAATTATCTGATAGATCGAATTCATTTATCATGGTAAAGCTAGGAAATCTTTGGGTTTATTTAAATGTCTGAAAATGGTGTAGATTAATGAGCTGAAGTCAAAGCTTAATGAGCCGCCGCCGGTTTCACCTTTGGATACCTCATCGGAGCCGGCGGAATTGAACTGCCCCAGTGGATCAGTTGATGGTGGTGGCGACACCGTTTTCCCCGACTTGAAAGACGGGTCGTCAGATAGTGACTCGAGTGCTATCTTGAATGACGATAATATCAGCAGCGGCGGTGGCGGAGGCAGCCCAAGGAACGCGGTGGCGTGTTCATCGCCGTCGTCCATGAGCAACTGCTTCCAGTTGTTCAAAACAACTTATGTGAAGATGGAAGAGCATGATTTCATCAGTAGTACTGCGGATGAAGTCTGCAATTTCTTTGCAGACGAGCAGGCTCCGAGTCTTCAATGGTGGATCTGAATCAAAAGACGTGGGATTTTCTGGAACCAAATGCAATAAGGCCAAGATTGACGTGGCGGCGGCGGAAGTTGTCAGCGAATGTGGCGTGGTAGCGAAGGCAGTGGGCGGGCGTGTGGGGGAATGATTAGATCGTAATGGAAGCTCTCTCTTTTTTTTATCCTTTTGTATTTACTTAGTTCTGCTGTAAATGGTAAAATCCTTCAAAACCCACGGGGGAGAAAGTAATTTTCCCCCTTCTAAGTGAAAAAGCAGAAAAATAAAAGTAAAAAATCGTTTTTGATACATTCCCTTAAAATAACTCTAAAATACGCAAAAATGGATAAAAAATAATTAATAAGAACATAAACACAAACAAAGATATCACGACTAGAAATTATGAGTAAATAAAAAGAAATCGTGCAATTTGAAAGGGGGTGCCGAAATATTATAGGGTGAAACATGCATTAGATTTAAAATTAAAAGGTTTGGAAGAGGTTGATGAAAAAATTTTGTGTTCTAAAAGGATCCCTCCTTACTTTAGGATAATCTATATACGTGATCACTCAATTACTGTTTATTTTAATTATGATCATCGACATTTTCAGTTTGATCAATAAGATCACGTAACTATTTAAGTGTTCTAATCAAGTCATAAGCCGCTAATATTTTTTTTTAATTAATCACTGGTATCCGATCTATTGATCGATTAATTCAGATCGGATACTGCAGAGGCGAGGACGATCCTCCCAACCCAGTTTGCTCCATTCGCAAACGTCATGATTCGAACCCCCGACCTTGTTTAAGGGATTTAGTGCCTCATCTCACTGGTTGTTGGTTAAGCAACCAATATTTAACAAAAGAGCCATATGGTTGTTTAAAAATAATTTAATTATACATTTAATCCTCAGCATTTGCACATTTATCAAATTAGTATAATACTATAATTTTCAACGTGATTTAATGATCTTGTAAAATTAAAAAAAGAGTATTATATTTTTTAATTTATAAATTAAGAATCAAATATATTTAGGGTAAATTACATGCTTAGTATTTAAACAATCAGTTTTGGTTCGTTTTAATACTTAAACTTTCAAATTTTCAAAACTATACCTAAATTTTAGTTTTTGTTTTATTTTAGTATCATGGTGTTAAAAACTTTAGTTTTTGTTTTATTTTAGTATCATCGTTCAGAATTTAGCGTTATTTTTTGAAAAAAAAATTAAAAGTTTAGATACTAAAACAAACCAAGACTAATAGTTTATGTGCTAAATACATTAAATTTTTAACGACGAATATTATAATGAATTGAAAATTAAATATTAAGTATGAATTAAAAATTTTAAAGTTTAAATGTTAAAATAACTAAAATTGATAATTTAAGTATTAAATGTATAATTTACTCGTATATTTATTAGTATTCAAATTCAGTTTTACAGCCTACTCGTAACCATGTCCATGGTGGAAGCTATTGGAACTTTAAACAATCAAAAGACAAAAAAAACGATTAAAGGGTACCCTAAAAAGAAACGACGCATGATTGAATCCCTCAAATATAATTGTCCATCGGGAGCTGAACCCTAACGCTTAACAACTTATATTCAATTTTTTTTCTTCCATTTATTGTAAAAATATTATTTTTTATTTTTAATAAAAAAATTAATCAATTTTCGATTTGAATCACTGACGAAACTCTCAACTTTTTTATAAATCCAACACCAACTAACTTGTCTAGTAAATGGGACATTAAATCCTTAAATAAAGTTAAAAAATTAAATTTTAATGATCGTAAATAGAATAAATTAATTTATTTCAATGATTAAAAAATTTATTGTTATTTTTAAAGATCGTGGATTCAATCACTAATGATTATAGCATAAGTGATTAAGTGTTTGTTATTAAATAATTAAAAATATTTATAATATATATTATATAATCACCTTACTTTAATAAAATAAATTATTAATAAACCTAAAATTTTAGAAACAACAGCAAACAGATCACACTTCCAAAAGCAAACTATCTTTTAAATTTTTGAATCTATCTCTAAATTTGTTTGCTTTTGGAGTGGTATTATTTTCGGGAAGTTCTACAGTACGACAGGCTTAAAAACGGTTAAAATAAGGTGTTATCGGTTTTGTTATCGTTTAAATAATAAAACCGATAAAAATTACCTAAATTTTTCCGATAATTACCTAAAATATTATGTTAATCCGGTCATTTTTTAAGCCTAAAAATATTTTCGGTATTTTTTTTCGAAAATCCGGTAAAAACACCCAATAATAACAAAATCGATAGCGCCTAATAATATTTTCGATAATTTTTACCGATTTTATTATTTAACACAATAATAAAACCGATAACACCTTATTTTAACCGTTTTTTAATCTGCCAGTCGGAACTATCCCCACTATTTTCCTGTTGTATTTGGGAAAAGAAAGGACCCGTAAGTGAAAAGCAGGGTGTGAGGGTCAAATAGTGGCTTTTGTGATCGTTCATTTACTTTCATCTATCTTTTTTTTCTCACGTTTTTTCTTTACTCGTGTATGTTTAAAATATTTCGTTATGTAATGTAATAGTGTGTCGGTTCATATGATAAGTAGTTTGATATTATTTAACTAAGGTTTTAGATTCAAGTTTTTGTATAAGTATAAAATCTTTGTTAAAAAACTCACTCATTAAAATTAAGTGTGCGACGTGTGTCAATCTAAATTAATCACACTTAGAACCGGGAGGATAATAAAAAATATATATATTTTTTGATGTACTCTTTATTTTCTTTTGGAAAACTTTTTTTAAACTCATTTTATTGTGAAATTTGTAAAATTTAGGTGATAAAATTTATTTATTTTATTAAAATTAATTAAAGAGTTCTAATGTTACTTTTTTCATAGAAACAGTTAATTTTACTTAAAAGGATAAAATATCTAACATTACAATAAATATATAATTATGATATATTTCTATAACCATTAATCCAAGAAATCAATCATGTGAGATCATATAAGGATTATGTAAAGAAAATGTTAATAATTCATCCAAAAAAAACTATAACAAAAGATAGATATGAATAAATCTGACTACATCGATAAATGAATCACGATAGGAAATCAACGATTGTAAGACCACCTATAATCATAAATCAAAGTCGAGTGTAATGAGAAAATTATATTCGAACATAAACAACATATCCAAATTCAATCTAAGAATTCAAAGTAGGAAAAATCATCAAGATAACGGATAAGTGTCATATTGATCAGTCGAGACATCATCAAATCCAATCATGAGAAAACTAAACAAAAAAAAAGGTCAAATGACAAAAAATATGCCAAAAGATAGAGAAAAATATGTCATAACGACATACGAAAACGTGTCACACAAATTGAGATATTTAAAATAAAAAATACGATATAAGGAAATAAATAAATAAAAAAGAAAGAAATAGAAAACAATGTAAGAAATATAAAAATCACATTATCAACACCACTAATCTTGTAATAATTGATCAAAATTTTAAAAAATAATATTTATGAAATTTTACTATAAAAAATTAAGGACTAAAGTAAAAACGATTTCATTCGTAACATAAATAAGATATACATACTCATTGTTATAGGAATGTATTATTATTATTATTATTTGGATAAGTAGAATTTTATTATCCAAGAAGAAGGAAGTACATCAACAAAAGTTATATATGGGAGTATATACTATTTACAACAAAAATGTTAGTCTATACCCCAGTAATTACAAAGGTTAATATTAACTCTATCAGTTCTATTAAGATTCTTGTCACTATGTTTGATTCGGACAAAGTCTTTAATAACCCTTATAACTTGATCAATCGTTATCGACTCTCCTCTGAAAATTCTTATGTTCCTTTCTTCCCAAACTGAATAGATAAAAGCACTCCATGCTAATTTCAAAATGATGATAAGAAGGAATTTACCCTTCCATTCCAGAATAGCCCAAGTAATCCTAGATTCCCAAGTGCTGTGATTGTTACTCAAAGAAGTAAGACGCAAGATAATGTTCCACAGTGAAATAGCATAAGTACAGTGCACAAACAGATGGTTCATGTTTTCTGGAAATTCATTACATAAAACACATAACTCATCAGAAGCAATCCCCATTTTAGTAAGCCTATCCCGAGTTAAAAGTCTGTCAAATATGACCATCCAAGAGATAATACTGAGTTTAGGTATGTGGAGTGGGAACCAAACTATTTTGTGCCAATGAACCTTAGTTTTGTGAACTCTCAATTCCTCCCATAAATCTCTTGTCCTCGTTAAATCAGAATTAATAAGGGGCAAAGCTTCACTCCTTAGTCTGATAAGTTTCTTAAAACACCAGTTATAAGATGGACATTCATTGATTTCAGCGAAGCTTTTACTTTTAATGAAAGAAAGGTGAAATAATTATTTGAGTTATGAATAAAATGTATAAATATTAAAATTAATATATTTATTTAAAGTCCTAAATTGTAAATAAATGTTTTTTTCTCCAAGCTCCTACAACTTTATTTTCAATTTATGGTTTTATTTTGGAAACTTGGTCCCATTTTTGTTTGATGGGCTCCTTTTAAGTAGATATTACCAGGGAGGGGGCATGTGACGTGGGTCCCAAATGTTTACGTCAAAAGCGAGTCGTTTTCATCAACGGTCACAATCAACTTAAAAGTTTGGATCAAAGCTGGAAGACATTAGGAAAATTGGAATAAAGTGTTTAATCAATTTTTTAAAGTTTTTGTAGTCGTTCGATCTGAGACACCTCATTTACTGCACCTTTTATTTAAATTTAAATAATATCGATTGCATAATATTTTATTGGTTTTTTAAATTATGAAAAGGACGGTTGGATTAGACTAAAATAAAAAACATTTACTTATTTTTTTAAAAGTAAGGGGGTCTCATTTAAAAATGGTAAATTATACATTTAATATTTAAATTATCAGTTTCTTCGTTTTAATATCTAATTTTTTATTTTTTTAAATCATACTTAAAGTTTAGTTTTTATTTTATTTTAGTATCACGCATAAAAACTTTAGCTTTATTGTATTTAAGCACCTCGTTTAAAATTTAACAATAAGTTTTGAAAATAATTAAAAGTTTAGGTACTAAAACAGACTAAAATTGTTAGTTTAGATACTAAATGTATAAATAATCCTAAACAAATATTTATGCTATAGAAAATAAATCAAAGTTGTAATTTTAAAGTATAAATTTAGCCACTGATCCATATTTGTATGAGAAAGAATATAGATGGCTCAAACGAGGACGGCGAATAAATGGTTTTC